ACTTCAAAGGAAAAACTGTAAAATGTTGCTCTGTAACCAACAACTGTCTTCACCATGACATAATGGAGCAGTAAATCACCAGAACAAGGCAGCAGACTTTTAGGTTTGGGTTTTTTTGGGTAAACTGTTTATTCTTTTCTTCTGAGTGCATGTCACATATTCCGGGTAGTTTGTAATATTAATGGACAAATTAATATTATATTGGGTGCTGGAACCAGTATTTTCTGCACTACACTGGGCTATATATTCTTAAATAGCTGAGCCCAGTTGCATGTCCTAGATTTGAGTTATAGGTGCATGTCTCACTCATGTCCTTACTCAACTTTGAGGCACGACTGAAACACACAGTTTCTTGTCACCACATGCTCGACATAGGGAAGAAAAGGCTGAGGGGTAACAGGAGAGAGCTGGCCAAGTGCTCAGTCCATCCCCACATACTACAATACTTATGTATCCAGTGTGACATAAAATGCATTTGAGAAGGTCACAGGTGTTGAATTAGCGAATTCATCATGAGATCCACTCATGGCTTCCAATAACTAAGTTGAAAAATAAAAGATCAGAACAGCATTCCTGCTAATCGTGCAGTCAAATAGTTTTAGAATTTCGGAGACGTGCAAAGAAAAACTGTTTCTTAAGCTGGTTTTTTTTTTTTTTAAATCTGCAGTAATCTTGCATCTAATTTTCTCTTGAGTAGAGTCACCAAGAAGCACAAGTAATCATCATCCGCTCATAAAATCTCTGTTATGAAAGACTTCCACATGCTTGTTCTAATTCCTCCTGAGATACTGGCAGCAGACAAAATTATCACTTCTTCTCTTTCATTTGAACTCCTTAAAATTAAATCAAGTCACTGTCAGTAATTTTACTGCACTAACAATATTCAAGGAGAAACCTCAACAACTTCAACGAACATTAAAAGCCAATGGACCAATAAAAGTTACACATCAGGTTGTACTCTTCTTACTTAGTTTCAGTTTATATCCACAGACCTTCATAGGAGTGACTGACAAGAAGCAACTCCAAACAATCCTATTTATGTGCAGGACCAGTGAAGAAGCCCTACAAACTTGCTCAAAACAATGTTAGGGGCTCCAAATGAATTTCATCAACACAGGAACCATTAGTTCCATTAAAGAAACACAATGGCATCTTTTTAGGAGGGAAACATGACTTATTGCTATACACTGCTGTCACTTCTCTTCCTCTGTTTTTGTAGATTGTTTTCCTACTTATCTGACTGCCAGTGCTGTAATGAGTGAAATATTCTAGTGAGATCCAAACTAAACTCCAGGATTATTTTAATGAAGGAAATATGTCACTTCAGTTTTTTGCTTATATCAGAGCCTCAAGACAGTTTTAAGTTGATCCTTTGGAAAATCATCATGCAAAGGATCTGCTGCTTAGTGACAATATAATGATTTTATCACTGCTAAATTTCCTCTTCATGTTAGAAAAGGAAGAGAAAATCAACTACCACTATTTTTATTCCACCTATCAACATAAAAAATATAGGGATTGCTGTCCAAAATGGTTTTCAGAGGCATCAATTTAAATTACCTTTCATTCAACCACAGATGCATTATCATCATCATCATCATCATCATCGTTATACTTATTTACTGGATACAACATATCCCTAAAAGTTTGAAAAAATATTTCTACTGTTTTTACTGCCACTAGAGTTATGTATTTGTTTGTATTACAGATAGAGACAAAAAACAAAACAAACCAGAAACTGCTATATTCAGACACTTGTATATAAGAAGGAAAATTTTTATTTTTTTTTTTTTTTTTTTTAGGGAAAAAGAATTGTTTGCCTTTTGGTACTATCATTGCTCCAAGGCTGGAAAAGAGGTGAATGGTTTTTGTTTACTTCAATGAAGAGTCTCTAGGTTAATTCAAGAATAACATTCTATGGATAATGTTATCATGGAGTCAGAGAATCACAGAATATCCTGAGCTGAAAGGGACCCACAAGGATCCTCAAAGTCCAACTCCTGGTCCTGCACAGGACAGCCCTAAGAGTCACACCATGAGCCCAAGAGTATCATCTGAACACTTCTTGAACTCTGTCAGGCTTGGAGCTGTGACCACTTCCCTGGGGAGCCTGTTCCAGTGCTCAGCCAACATCTGGGGGAAGAACCTTTTCCTGATATCCAACCTAAACCTCCCCTGACACAACTTCAGCCCATTCCCTCAGGTCCTGTCACTGGTCACCACAGAGCAGAGATCAGTGCCTGCCCCTCATCTTCCCCTCATAAGGAAGTTATAATTGCAGTGAGGTCTCCCCTCAGTCTCCTCTCTTCAAGGCTGAACAGACCAAGTGATCTCAGCCACTCCTCATACGGTTTCCCCTCAAGGCCCTTCGCCATCCTTGTGGCGCTTCATTCTTATACTGTGGTGCCCAAAAGTGCCACAATGTTCAAGGTGAGGCCGCCCCAGTGCAGAGTAGAGCAGGACAATCCCCTCCCTCGACCAGCTGGCGATGCTTTGCTGGATGCCCCCCAGGACACGGTTGGCCCTCCTGGCTGCCAGGGCACTGCTGACTCATATTCAACCTGCTGTCGACCAGGACCCCCACGGTTGAAGCATGGAATAGACTTTGGGTTAACATCTATGAATATGTGTAAATGAATAGAGGACTCGAGAAAGGCAGTGACTCACCTTGGCAAAACACTTCACAGGAATACACTGGCCTGAATTTGATCAGGGACAACTAAAAATTCATTGATTTCATTTTATGTTCTCTACAACACCAGTATATGAGAAGAATCAGACACAATGAGAAAAATACATGCAGTCAAAATTCTGGCACTACACACTTCTCTCGAGTAAGCACAGAGGACACATTCAGTGATCCTCGCACTTTGTGTGTGGATGCAGTGTTTTAGATCCTGGTTTTCTGGGGGTTTTTTATTGCTGACTGTACACTTTCTGCATTGTCTGCTGGAGAAGCATCTATCCACATAGTAATCTCCATTACTGATTTCTAGTTTTAAAGTGTGTAACAGGTAAGTAAAGCCAAATACCCTTCAAGTAGTCTGTCAAGTAGTGACAACTGCTACCATTGTCACAGTCATCTTCCATCCTTGTAGGTAAGGTACCATGGACAATGATTGTAGGAATCAGACTGCAGGGGATAAAAATGTTTTAAGAACCCTTGTTTTAAAACTACCATTTGGATTATGTGGGGTTTGTTTTATTCTATTTATTTATTATTTTATATAATGTATTCATTCCTCAAATTCTTTACTCTTTCTATTTAAGAGCTGGAGTTTTGCTTCTAGGCACATTCCCTTCCTCCTTACCTGCAATGTATATAAAGCCTCTGTTCTTGCCAGCCTGCATTAAACACTGCCATACAATTATCCTCAGTCACTGGACTGTTATCTCAGGGAATTGAATTAGACTTCCTAGTTTAGAAACATCAAATTATTTATACAAAATGTTATAGTTGAAACAGATCCAATTTAGAGCATGAAATGGTGGGTAGGATAGTAAAGACTAAAAAGATCAGGTCACTGATTTAAAACAGAACTAAAAGTTGAATTTGATCCTGAGGGTACCCATTTAGAGTCATATCAAGCAGGTTATTGCCTATTCAGAAGCATGGAAAATCAGTTTTTCTTTTGTCTCTAAGTTGCAGCTGTAAAAGTCTCCTCAAGAAAGGTTTGTCTTGGACCAGTAGCAGTTCTATGGGAATTTCACTGTCAGTTTTTCGCAAGTACAGGTTATCAGAACTTTTGGTTAAGAAATATGAAACAGCTTTAGATGGGTGTTCAAAAACACCCCTGATAAGTCACTTTTGTTTTGATACCTTGAACATAAGGATTTCCTACAGGGGTAGAAAGGGAAGCATTCAGCAAATCAGAGAATCAGTTCTTTTCCTGAAAAAGGTGCAATATATTTCATTTCTCACTCAACACAAACCAAAACCCTCTGAGATCTTCTTGCAGAAAAGACTATCTTAATTTGCTTGTTGCCCTTATAGCTGAAACACAAAATTATCAGTTAGCATGTCCTATGCACTTTAAATGGATATAGTTTTTTATTTGAAATTACTCTGGCAAGATTATGTCAATACGTTTTTCATCCATGAAAGCTTTTTGATATATAGTCCTAACTGTTCTAGGCATAACCTGATTACAGTTTAAATTTTCTTGATATATCTGGATTTTACTTGCATCACCACTCTAAATTGTGACAAGAAATCAAGATGGAACAACACTCAAAGACGTTTCCATAGAAAAATATCCCCCAGTAGACTTATGAGTTTTCCATTGGTACTTACCCCACAACTAGATGTTATTTCTTACCTCCACCCTCCAGCATATTCCCATCTGTGCCCATTCACCTCTCACTCCCCTCACCATGAAAGTCTCCCTGTTAAACATGATGAAAGCTGTTGCGCCAACCCTCCCTCATGTCTGAATTTTGAGGGTCAGTTGCTTTTTATGTGCACTTCAAATACGTGCAGTTTTAAAGCAGCTTCTCACTAAGGGCAGCTTGTGCTACATTTGAGGTTGAGCCAAGAGAGATCCCCTCTCCCTGGGATCCCTGAGCAGTTTCAGGCCCCCTCCTGTGTCTGACTCCCACGGGAATGTTGAGCACCCACGGGTCGGGGGGGGCCCTAAGCCAAACTTGCTCCCACTGGCATCACTGCAAAACTCGGCTGAATTCAGTACAATAGAAATGAGCCCAAATGATGAAAATATGAAGATAATGCTGTGGAATGCTGTTGCTGACTAGTTTCATTTGAATTTAAAGTGAGGAAAGGATGAAAGGAAAGAAAAAATTTGGTAAGAGTTATAAGATATTATGTTCTGCATTCCCAGTACAAGAAAGTTTTCACTTCCTTGCCAGAAAGAACTGTAGTGTCTCTTGTCATTGCTCTTTTTTATTATTTAAATTAAAGTAATTTCTGAAAAACATTTCTTCCCTTTTCCCCCTTATACATACTATAGTATAAAAAGGTAAAGGTAAGTATAAAATCCAACCTTTATTCCACTTTGTACAATCTTGTGTATATCCAAAAAAGGTTCCTTGAGTATGTCTCCTTCGGGAGTGAAAATCTTCACATATCCTTCTTTCTCTAGAATGAAGAGGCGATGGGATCCATCCCCACAATGTACTGCTCCAACAGGCTGCCTTAGTCCACTCACAACCTCCTGAATGCAGAAGCAGTTGTGCTTGTGTTTTCTAAAGAAATTCAAAGAAAACACGAGACATTTCTTCTTTTTTGTAACTGCAACACAACAATGTCCCTAAAACATAAAATGTTTGCTCTGCAGTGATATTGAAAAGTTTATAGTAAAAGCAGTTTTATATATTTAAATATACACTCATATATCCAGAATAAATGAAGGTATGGAAGCATATAATACTGAGAATCAGTTTGAACTCCACTTGAGCAAAATTTGGTCTGTATACAAGAAAGAGAAAATTAAACAAACTTAGATCCAATATGTAGAAGAATAGGAGGGAAAAAAAATTGTAAAAGAAGAGAATAATTTAGAAATACGGAATTTCCACCATAAAATAAACACAGTAAATTTCACCACTTCGACAAAATTTGGCTTCTAAACCCCATTTAAAAATAATGACTTACAATGGAATAATCTAATTTAATTATTTTCATTAAGAAAAATACATTAAATAAATTGAAGATCATGAAATGAATATTTTACTAATAAACTTATTGTAGTTGTTTACAATAAAGTCAAGTAATACTACATTCAGGTAGAAATTACTTCCCAGAACTACGTATGATCCACAGGCTGGACGATAACCAAGATCCACAGGGTGGATCAAACCAGGATTCTAACACCTTTCCAGCAAGGCAAATATCAAATGGTACTGAAATGTTGAAGTTAATGTAACTTTCTCTTTTGACATACACTAGCAGCAGCAAAAGTAAGTCACATCTGGAAAACACAGCTGCCGAACATAAGGACATACTGAGCTGTTTCACCGTGAAAACCACAGGCTTTGCTAGGGTTGTTTTTTTTTTTTCAGATTAAACAGCATTTATCTTTATGAACCTGCTGATCTCTTCCTCTTTGTCATATTCTTCCATGTGGTCCAGGGAGTTAGAGGCTGGCCCTCGCACTTGTTTTCTTGGAAAATCTGGAAAGCACACGCCACCATCTTTTCTTGCATAGTAATAGCAAAACTCATCAGCTGTAGTTTGGAGAAAACCTTAAAAATGCAAAAGAGCAAACAAATATTTAGTGTGTTGTCATGTCTGCAGTTTATTGTCATCAAACTCATCTTTAAATAGATTACAGTGGAAAAAGAGGTCATTTTAAACAAAGCACTATCTGTTAAAAAAGGCCTGCTCTGAATAAACACAGACTATTACCTTTTACAGTGTATTTGTCTTTATTTGTATTAAACCTGATTTTCAGTGCGCTTATGTGAAAATACCAATTCATTCAAAATGACACAACAATTCACTCACTAAAAAATTAAGAGACAAAGCTCAGAGTTGAGGCTATGATACACTTCTTCCTGATTTTAACCGATCAATCAAGTGTAGGATCTGCAGTAAAATAGCTTGAGTAGCTTCTATGTAACTTTTTTTTTTAAGTGGCTTGTTGTAGTCAAAATCTCAGTAAAGACTTGAGTAAAAGGCATGAAGTAAAGACTGTGGAGTTCTGCCAGCAAAGGGCACCGGTTGGAGAGGTGAATAATCACAGATCAGGTGAATCTCAGAAAGCCAGAAGTGTTGCTGAAAACTGCACTGTGTTGACATGCAGTTGGCCTCTGATTGAAGCATTGAAGTGGGTGATCAGTGTCCCATCATAAGGTCTAGTTCCTCAGGTCCCAAAACGGGGGATATGCCTCACGCTGCACTGGACATGGCTTGTATGAAAAGTGGTCTTTAGCTTTCAGGTTAAAATGGGAATGAGTTCAAAGGCCCAGATAAACAAGAAGATGGTAAAATGAGAGCCTTTGAGGAAAAACTCTGCCACTACTGCTATTACATTATGTTTAATGACATAAAAAGTATCTATTTCTGTTCACAAACCTATTTCTAGTCATTGCTATCCAGTTTTTATCACGAGTATTAAATCTAAGAAGACAGAGCCTGGCTAGTTATACATGAACTGTTTCTAGAACGTGAAGATAATATGTCTTAAGTTGCCTTCATTCTTTTTTCTATTATTGGCAACTGTCTTAAGATGTACTATGGTCCAGGACATAACTCATAGGATACACAGAATTAGCAGTTAACTGGAATTAGAGGCCTAATTTATGCATGGCTTTACCACTCGTGAATAATGCAGTAATCCATAGGTCTTGGCCATAAAACCTCTGGCTTATAATGTACAGCAAGAGCTGATCAGGGACAGCTGTGTTTCATTGGAAAGTGCCAGTTTCTTTTAAGCAAAGCTTTTTCAGAAACATTATCAGTTTTGACAAAATTTTAATTCACATGATGTTTCTGGTCCAAACTCAAACTTCTGGTCTAAATGAGAAAGAAACAGCAAACCTCATATCACTATACTCCAATGTCTTGTAATTAGGGTGTTTCATTAGGAAGAGGAATATTCAGGTCAATGCCCCTCATCTGTCAGGCAAGAGTTTGACCCTAAGTCTCCCATTTCCCAAGTAAATGTCCTAACAACTTTATTAGCTATCCTGGGGTGGTCTTTCTGTGGCTTTCTCCATGGAAAATTTCGAAAGAGTTCAATTTCTTCCTTATGTGGAATAGGAAAATTTTTTAGATCCCAGAATTTTTGTGGAGTGGAAAGCCGTTCCCACACAACTATACTTCTTTTCATATACATCTTCCTTTAAAAATATTGGAAAAATAACATGACAAAGCCTACCTTTGGTTTCTATAAAATAGTATCTGGAAACACATGGTAGTGTGTTGTGGTGTAAAAGTTTAATTACCATGATTTGGAGTTTCAGTAAATTTCATCTCTGAGGAGCTGGTTTTAATTTATAGTAGTTATTGGAGAAAATGGAAGATATAATTTTAAGTGGAACAACTGAAGAGGAACTCTGATATAATCACGGAGTACTATTCCAAGGCTTGTAGATATAAAGCCAAAATCAAAGGTAATCCAAAATCTTGCTGTTGAATTATTTGACTTAAGAATACAGGGTTTTGTCTTTAATAATTTATTTCTCTAGGCACAGTGGTTCATTAAAAAAAAATGCAACAGCAAATTAGAGGTGTAAGATTACTAAGCATTTCTAGAATTTTCTAAGTATACCATCTACTATTTACTAAAGATAAACTACTCTTGGCTTGAATGTTTTCTTTAGTCAGGAAAGCTGAGAGCATATTATGATCATGTTGTTCACTCAGTACATGTCCATTTCAAATTACAATCAGATGTAAACTCACTTGACTGTAGCAATGCCTTTTCTTATATGTAAGACTAATCCCATTTCCTTATGAAATATTTTATCATGCACTTCAGTACATGTTGCACTGCAGTTGCCTTTTTGCTATTTAGCAAACCCATCAGCAGGTTCCAAGAAAGAATAAGGCTTATGTTCCATTTTCATTAGAAATGCTTGTAAAAAAATGGGGTTAGAATCAAACTGAGAAAAATGTTGCATTACTGGAAGGAATGTAACCTCTGTAAATACAGTTTCACCTGGTTATTAAGGGTGGAATGTTGTTATTTTCTTGTATAAAAACTATAGTAACTTACCAAAAAAAAAAAAACCACCACAATTTGTATCTGTTATATATGCTCAATTTAACATACTAACAGATTCACTAAAGAGAGTTAGAGAAACGTGCTTCTACTCCCTATCTGCTTGTAGCCATTTAATGTCTTCTGTTTTGTGCATAGATTGTAAGGTCTTTAGTGTAGTTTGCCATTTTGTTCAGCATTTGTACACTGTCCAGAAGAATGGTCCCTGACAAGTGCCCCTAAGCAGTAGAACTGTTTGGAGGGGAAAAGAAAAAAAAAAAAAAAATCTTTTTGCTCAGTCTGAATTTATTCAAATACAGCTCTGTCACTGTCCTCTGTGAGAACTGTGCCTAATAAAGACTGCAACCCTTGGTCCTGTGTGAATTTCTGTACTTACTACTTTATTTTAAAACTCATACATATTATTACAAATTTCCTACCAGCTGTGTACGTGTTGACAGAGCAGTGCCTGTGTTAACAAAGAAAACTGAAATCACAAAGGAAGCTTAAACATCATGTTTAAGTGTCAGATTTTGCACAGGCTTGCATTTCTATGCTTTTAAAACTTTCTCTCTTGCAAACAAGAATCAAATGACAGGCTTTTCAGTTAAGGCACTTACAGTGAAGGCTTTCTGTATTCGCCTTTATAAAACACTGTGGGAATAAGTTGCATGATTACAAGCCTTTTCAAAGGAAAACTTCTGCTCTCAGCTGATCTCCACCTCCTCTCTCCACTTGTACTTGCATTCAGTTGTTCCTCACACTGTATCTCCCTTCCTACCCTACCTTCACCAAATTCTACTTTGCTGGATTCCCTGCTTATCCATTCCCTTGCCTCTCCGCTTTGATATACAACTCCAGTGTCATGGTAGCCCGTGTCCCAGTCTCTACAACAAGTCGAGTTCCTATTCCCTCCCTTCCCTGTTTGCACTGCACACGATTGAGAATCATGCACATCTGAGTAGACTTACCCCAGCTTTGAGGACATCTGGAAATAAGGCTCACCTGCTCTATTTCTGCTGTGACCTTGAGTACACAGTTCAGTATTGTGTAAAAGAAGCATTTTCCTGCTTTGGGTTTACTTTTTTTCCTGATTTGCACTTTTGACAGATAGATGTGAATTTTTTCACAAAAAAACCACGTTTGCCTCTCTCTTCTCAACTGCCAGTGAAAACCAAATCAAAGACATGATTCCAGACTGATTGTTTCAAACTGTACTAAGTCCACTGGTAGTTTACATAATTTCCTATTGGTTTTCAAGTGACTAGTGGTCCTTTTCTCATACTCAGATATTGCACGTACCTGCACATGGGCAGTGCCAGGGTTAATCCCCTTGATATTCTTATTACCAGTAGCAAAATTGTGAGCCACTACTATTTTTTCTGCAGGTTGACTATGTTGACTGTGACTAATAATCAGTCATGTTAGAACTTCTAGAAATGCTGTGTAAGTTGTAGGATTTCTTAGAATTCCAGCATTTGGGCGTAGGGTGCCCCTGTTTGTTGTTAAAAAAATCCTATCAAGCATCTGTTCTTGTAATGCCTGGATTCAGATCAGGGCCTGGATCTGAATTCACCCACAATCATCTGGAACCCATTCCTTCAAATGAAAATAATGGAGACCAGATAGTTCAAAATCTCTCCCATGTCCTTGAATGGCACTGTGGCTGTGGTACAGGTTTGTACCTTTGAATACGCCACTTGCACCAGTGTGGATCAAGTTTCTACTTATGTCCAAAGGCAGAATCAGCCAGGCCTTTCTTTACTTGCTATATTAATAATAAATATTAGACTGTCTTCCCTTATGACCTTGTAAAACTTAAAATTCATATTGTTTGAAGATACTTCGTTAAATCACTTAACTCCAGTGTCTCCATCACTAATCACCTAAACTGAGGCTTACAGTAAAGATTAGATGAGAAATAAACACAACAGTTACCTGGAATGAAGCAGGGAAGTTCCAATCTCATAGTCTTTGTGTAACAATACACTCTCCTGCATTTCCACACCATCCTAACAGCTATTTTTATTCTGTCTGAATAAAGAATAGGGTCCCCTTTTTCTCTGAATATTCCTAAAGAAGTCAGTGGAAGTTCTGATACAGTCATAACTGGTGGGCAAACTGCTGTCTTCAAAAGAGTTAACCAAGCATCTGCTACAGTTTTCATCTTTGCAAAAACAGACAGAACAATTAAATGAATTTTTGAAGCTAACTCGTGAAAAAACCTGATGCATAATTTCTCAGTCTTGGTTAATGTGTAATGCTAAAATTTCAGTCCCAGAAAAGATGCTTGCTATCTTAAAATGCTAATAATAGTTCTCATTTGTGCAGGACTTAAGAGATAAAATTATTGTTTTAGTCAGCAATTTCCTTAAACTCCCTTGTATTGGTGTTCAGAAACAATTAGCACTCCCTAATGGAGGAAGAGTAATTATTCGACTTTTTAACAAATGCACAGTGAATCATTGCCAGAGACCTTGGGCTTGGGGGCCTGTTAATTTTCAGCTCTTTGTTTAATTCTCCAGGCTAAGCTGAAAACATAGCTTCCACATTTTCAATTTTTTCCTTTCTTTCGTAATAAATATTATTATGGATACATGAGTCTAACAAGCAAAATAGAAACCCCAAATAAGTTGTGACTGTAATTATTTATATTTCAGAATGTATAAGACTATTAAACTCTACTAAAATCCTGTAGGCCATCTTCTCAAAAGGAGGGACCTGAATCTCAATCATTACCTTTGGGAAATCCTAGAATAGGTATCAGCAACTGTATGTACCAGTCAAGTCACCAAATTAACCCTGTTGGTGGATGTAAGTATGCAACAACTTTTTGTTAGTACAACCTACTTTCAGAACAAGTATTTAGAACGATTATTAGCATCTGATTGATGTAGGAAAAATCCTATTTTAACTGATGCTGAAGTATGTAAGCTCTTTTCCTGCAAAGCACAGTGCTCTGCCCAGTGCTAAAGTTATGCTTTCATCTGGTTATCTTTCAAGGCAACCTGGGTGGTCACAAAAAGCACTTGACATCTTGATGCACTTCAGCAGTTTTACATATACACAAACTTTGTAGAAAAATAAATTTGTCATTCGTCACCACATATGTTGATCTGAGGAGCGAGATTCCTGTGGCTACAGCTCCTGTGCTGCTCAGCCCTTTCTCATTCTCTCTCCCTCCCTCCACCTCCTCCTTCTTTCTCCCTTTTCCTTCTTTCACTTTTTTCAATTAAACAAATTGTTTCCCCATAAACACAGAACTTCACAAAACAACTAGGAAGGTCTTGCTCTGCAGAATATGATAATCATTTGCACTAGCTACAAACTCATGTCAAAAATGTCTCTGTGTGGACTTCTTATATGGGCCAAACATTTAGAATATCTAATCTGTTATCGCTGTTCAGCAGGCAGTCTTGGCAACTATGATCTATTCTGCTTTGCTTTGGGGAATGTGATAAAGAGCAAGAAACAGCTGGTTTAAGAAAGCCTTAGAAACATCTCTTAGTTTATAAAGACAATAATAATATTTTCATATTTGAATGGGTTGAGATACATGTTAAACCACAGTAAAGGGAAAATGTAAGTCAATTCAAAATGTTTTCTCAAGTCAATAAAAGAACACTGCAAAAAAACTCCTGTGCTTTTGGGATTTCAGAGAAAACAAGTACACACTGTACACATGCAATAAAAAAACTCTCCTCCAAATCCCATCCACTTAAACTATCCCTTTTCTCAAATATGTTTATATTATATGCACAGAGCTGCGTTCATATGTAAAATATGACTATTCACAAATTCATTTTTCATCTCATTATCAACTCTTTTTTCTAGTCTGTGTAGCTAGTAAAAAAAAAAAAAATCCCAATTAATTTAATTATTTTCTCCTGTGTGGCATTGTTTGTAAGTAGTGTTTGGACAGGAAAAAAAGCTTAGTTTAAAAATGACAGTCTTAAACATATAAATAATGTACTATTGAGAATACCAAAGATGTTATTTAACATAATAGTGTATTAAGACACCGTTTCTAAAAGAACCATCTTCTGCGGTTATTTTGTTGATACATGACAAGTGATAGCACACATTTGGTGACTGCCTTAGACAACAGGGCAAATTCTGCTTTTGATTATGTCCAGCTAACTCTACTGACTACAGTGAGGAAGTGTTAGGTTAGTTAAGAATTTGGTCATTAACAGCATGTTGGAAGTAATTCAAAGATCACAGAAGTGTATCAAATAGCTCCCTTTGATTTCAATGGGCTTTAAACCCTGTGGAAAAAAACATCAGTTTCTAGGGCAACAAAACCAGAAAAAACTTTACTCATAAGCTTTTAGAGTCTAAAACAAACAGCCAGGACCTTTTATTTCTTGCATTTTAGAACAATCTATTGTTTAGAATAGCCTTTTGGATGGCCAGCTGCTTGTTTGCATGATTTGAATTAACACGTAAATATTTCAGCCACGGTAAAAGTTTGAGGTGCCTTTGACAACAGTCAAGCCATGTGTGTTTCATGGAGAGTGTAACAGGAGGGTGGCAAGAAAGCACTCTAAATATTTACCTCCTTACATAAGATCCACTCTGAAGACTGAAACATTCTGTCTTGGGCAAAATCCCCTGAATATAAATGGGAATTTTTTCCCAGTTAAAAGCTGGATCTATAACTGCTCAGGCAATATCAACATATTAAAACAGACATCTTTTAGCCCTGTATTTTGTTATAGGTTTTACCTGGTATGTGACCTCTGCAAGTATAATAGAATTCTTTACAATAGTCTTTGCACAAGTAGGGAAGAGTTAGTTCTCTTTCAGCTGTGTCCCCTTTCTCAGGTGAGTGGAATAGGTTCTGAGCGTGAGGTGAGCAGTGTGCACATTTGATTTCCTCCAGTAGCTTCGCACATTCCGTGTTGTTCGTAACAGAAAGTATCTGCAAGCCACAAACCAGAGACAAATAAACATATGACCTGTTTCCCCATCTTACACAATGAAAGATTGCATGATCTAATGTAGTAAACAATGCTAATGGGACAAATGCATCATATCTCAAGTGCAAAAGTTACTACTATGAAATGTGCAATATGCCATTAGTACGGTGAGATTTTAGTTTCTCTGATTTCTTACATACGATTCTATAAGGATCTTCTATAAGAGTCTATAAGATTTCTTCTCTGAGCTTGCTTCTCAGATAAGAATAATAGCACTCAAGTTATTTTAAAGATTCATGCCTGCCATCTCTTAATCACATAGGCAAACTCTGAACTAGAGGGATCATGTATATAAGGAGGAGTTACAGCAGCAGGCCTTCTATCCACTTTTGAGGTGTTTAGAGTCGAAAAATTAAAGTTCTACCATCAAAACACATCAGGAAAAACATGTCTAGGTATGTGTAAAATAGGTGTATCTTGAACGACACCACTGCATGGCTACTGAAATGACTGCTGTGGAATTTGAGGAGGTGCCGTGGATTTTTCATGCTTTAAATGCTGCTCTGCTTTTTGCTCTCTCTAGTGCAAACTACTTGTAGGCAGGAAAACCTGTGTGTTTTCAGACATATCTTTCTGTAGGTGAAAAAGTAGAATTTGCAGCATCTCGTTTGCATCAATATTGAATCTGTACCTTTGTCCTGAAAAAAAAGGGCACATATGTGCACAGCGCTTGACGAAGCATGAAACCTCGACTGAAGATGTGTTTGAGTAAACACAGGAGCCCAAGGAATGTAATGTCATCAAATCATGAAAAATAATGGAAAACAGTATAGTTGTCTTTATTAGCTTCTGAATGCAGTGCACTTTGTTAATCTATAGTTAACCACATGGATTGTTTTTTGATCATTCCTCCCAATGGTGGGTAATGGGAAATGTGTTCCCTCTGTTGAGAGTGACTGAATCTGAGCCAATATGCAAAAACAAAGCTCAGGTTCTCTCTGGTATTTATTTAACACAATTATAAATAAGGACTGTAAGACACATTAAAAAATATTAATGTGGTAAATATTTGTGTTCTGTAAAATTTGTAAATATTTGTAAGTAGCACATTTGAAAACACTGCTAGTTTTGCTATAGCTCATATCTCTGAGTTGATTTGTAGAAGGACTTTCCAAATGTCATTCCCTTGCAACATAACAGTAAAAGGGAATTATCTGACTTTTGAAAAAGTAAGTTATTCAATGCAGAAAAACTCCTGATATGTTTGAGTGTGCTGTCTCATACACCTGTTCTCTTCATGGATGCTGTACTTTGATAACACAGTTCTGAACTCATCTTTTTTTTTACAGATCATAACGACATGAATTTCAAAAGTTTGAGAGAAATGCACTTTCCATTGTTTTCAACAGATAGTTATTCAAAATATTACACGATATATGGCCTGTACATTTAAACAAAATCCTGTTTAAAGTAACCTTGATTTAGAAAGCAAACTCTTCCAAGGAAAATTTAGTCTTACCATACATATATTGCCAAAAGGCCATCTGAAATGCATACTAAAGTTTAATGTTGTAAGTTGGGACCCTGATTAGAAGAACACCATTTGGCTTCTATCCTTATTCTGGATATGCTGCCACTGGCATCAAACAGAATTCCTCCAGATTTGCCAGGATCACTGAATGCATTAAATGTTCTGTTCTTGAGACTATCTGTTCTCACACTATCCTCAGCTTCATAGCACCTGCCATTCAGTAATGTGATTAACATCTGCTCCACATATTGTTTATTATCTGTCTTCAGACACTTCTTGAGAATATAACTGTCTCACATATTTTGGAAAGGGTTTGTCTTCTCTCTCTCTCTCTAATGATAACTACAATAAACTATAACCAAAATATATAAGAACTAAAACTTTGAGCTTTGCTTAATACTGCCTAGGATTGCAGTCCAGGTAGGAAAGAATAGACTTGACAAGCTTGCAGTAATCCATGCTACTGAGGTAATCTTCTGCATGAGCTGGACTTTATTAAGGGAGGCTGTGATTCTGATGGGAAGGGGCCTGTAAAAGTCAGTCAGGTCATTGTTTGCCAAATAGAACAAAGTCTGAAGCCAATAGGGGATGACTAAAAGCACTATCTATAAATGCTACTTTTTAAGTATGTCACTTCTCTCCTGAAGTAAGGATGAAATGACCCATTTGGGTGTTTCCACCAAAGGAAACTGCACCATGAGTACAGACCCTTCAAAGAACTTGTCTACATTCAGGAGTTTGCAGAAGTCTCATATATTTTCATCAGGGAGTTCATCTTAGGCAGTAGGCTTCCTTGTAGTAGCAGTATGATGATGCGTTTAGAAGTACAAGTAAACACAAGGTATTACTAGGTAAATATTCAGTGTGCTTATTGAATTAACTCCACAGTGACGCAGATAGAAAACTGTACTTCTACTGGAAGACTCCAGAACACATTGTGGAGGGGGAAGGGGTGGGGGTGGAGGTGGGGGTAGAAATAAATTACAGGATAGCAAAGCTAATTTACTGGTTTTTATGGGAAACGTAATTGACGTTGCCTGATGATACAGGCTTGCCAACATTTCAGTCCTCAAAGTTAAGACAAAAGGATCCTAATCCCCCTGAGCAGCTGCTATCCAGGAATTAACCACAGGAATTCACCCCCTCATGTAATTTCTGGAATGAATCTTGGTCATATAATAGCTAATCGGAAGATTAAGGAAAGAGAGCCAATCAATTATCTGGAAATCAAGTACAGTGTTACTTAACTTTTAGAATGCTCAAACAAAATAGGGTGGTAACATTTGCTCTGTGTGAGGTCTGATGTGTAACTCTGTCCTGGCTTGGAGATAGGACAACCTCTCTATTCTGAATTTCAGTAAATCAATAATGTACTTATCCTGGAGTATATTAAAACAGTTTTAAGTAAATTCTGAAATACTTATTTAAATTAAGTTTTTCGGATGTCTACTTTGAAAGTGACCTTAAAGTTGACAATGGCTTTGGTCTTTTGAAGAAATGTAAACTAATTTCCTTCTTCAATTTTTAAAGTCGTATGAGAAACCATCAAACTGCAGTGGTTTAAACTAACTGTGCTCTGGAAAATATGTAAAACTTCCAAGCATTTATTGCAACATGCCTAATAATGATTATGCCTGCTGTTGACTAATTTACAACATCTGTAAGATCATCCTTTAATCTCTAGCCACATGAAAGTAAAATGGGTAGACTAAAGGTAAGATAAATCCTGGAATGCACAGGAAAGCATAGCATACTAAAATGGTTTATCAACAGAAGGAGGAGTGCAAAGAAGAAACAGAAGATGACACAATAGACAGAAAACCTTTATGATTAATATTGTCATCTGTTTTGGGTACTCTGTCATATCTAGTTGGAGCAAGGCAGTATAATTTTGATGCTAACAGAAGAAAAAAACCAGTGAAATAAGTCATTGCATTAAGCCATATTTGATATACAAGCATTTATGTCTAAAAATCATGTGCTGACGAGATTGTTCAGCTGTTGAGTTGAACATATGCCTCTTCTGTATTATAGTGCTGGATTATGTCATTAAAGAGTTCGGTTTCAATTTTAGGGTAATATTTAAATAGATCATTGTACTAAGGCAGCTGTTAAAGGGACCCCAAGATGAGTTATTTGTTTAGTTGGATGTGTTCAACAATAGCCTTTGTTCATGAAAGAGCCAGAGCAAACAAATGATTGTAAAAGGGCACACTTGAAAACAATTACTTTTCACCCATTCCTTGACAGCCTTGGCTGTGAAACCATCCAAGGTAGAGAGGACTTCTTTGCCTGTCAGGCTGCAAGCAAACTTTTAGAAAAACTGATATTACAATGTTTGACTGGGAAGTAGTAGCCCTTCAAAAGCAAGGGGATATTGCAGAAAAATAAAAGACAGAGTTAAATGTCAACAGGATGCAAATATTTTACTTGAGCCAGGGCAATGTTGTCTCTGCTTATTACAGAAGCTCCATTTTTCTTCCCAAAGCTGCAGGCACTGGTGGTGTTTTCATTATAAGCATAGATCAATATTTTGATCAAAAATTCTCAAAGACCCAGCATCTTTGGGGAGAAGCTCTTATGAGAATGTCTACTGACATGCTCAATTAATTAATTTTTTTTTTCTTTTAAGATGGTAGCATTCAAGTTTCTGTTAATGGCATAGCCACTCCATCATGTAGGTATATGATGGAGTTAAAAAAAGCTGGGTTTGGAACTGTAGTAAAACACAGTTTAAAAATGTGCTGTTAGAAAAGTTACATTCAAATGTATTCCATAATACTTTGCCATGTCTTTTACAGAACGACCACCTCATTCTGTCAAGTGTAAATCACATATATTTTGACCTTTTTTCCAAATATATATTGGTATGGTAAAGCAGATTTTTGAGTTTCATAAGCATTAATCTGCAGTTAAAATGTCTGATTTTACAACCCTATAAAATAATATTCCTTAAAAAGTGTAATCTGTATTAAAAAACAAACAAACAAACAAACAAATGCCAACAAAAAAAGCTATAAAAACCCCCAAACCCCAACCAATAAAAAGCCCAAACAAACAGGTTCAACAGCTCAGAAATAGGTACTGTGACATATATGATCACTTATGTCAGATTTTTAGTACCATGTGTAAAAAAAACTTCTACACTCAAAAGGAATTAAAAGACGTTTTAAAGGAATAGTAACAAGAGAATAAATGCTTCGACTGCCTGGAGATGGAAAACTAACCAAAATTGAACTTCCAGTTTATTGCATTCAACCAATTACCACAAGGGTCTCCAAGCATTGAATAATCTCAGAAGCATATATGCCACCGAGACATTGTAAATAGGGTGAATTAAGGACATACTATTCCAGTCCTGATTCTTTTTTTTTTCCTTCTATTTTTTTTCTTTCTCTTTTTCTCAGCTAGATCTTTAAGGTTATCTGTGTGTGGTTAGTTTATAGTTTAATTCAATTATCACACAGGAGCTTAATGACATTGTCTCTAGACAACACGAAGAAATATATCTGCCTTGAATCTCAAACTGTTGCTGCATATGGTATGAATAAAGAGAGATCTGCAGCTGAAAACCTGCAGTAAGACAGTTCTCACTCATCTGGGAATAGAGGGGGTAGGACAAATGCTCCCTCAAAAGGCATGAACATTTGGACAGAGCTGGAGACTGAAGGAGAATGATGTTCTCCAGTTTCACCCATTAGTGAACCAACTAACAAACACAATGGTGTTGTTGTTATTCTTTTGCCATAAGCAACAGGACTCTGTGTGTGGGCAGCAGTTTAGTGGGGAGGAGGATAAGTCGACCCCTTTTTGTCCTATTGATTTTTTCCTATTTGCATGACTTGAGCAAATTAAATGATGCAATATGGCTTTTTGTTACAAAACAAAGTGAGAGATACCACCCAGACACATATGTTGATTCGTAGAAGCTGTTTACATGAGAATAGAGTGAAATCTACCGTGAACTGAGCATAAAAATTCGATTCAGGCTGGGTATTTTTTTTTATTATGCTTGGGCCAGCAAGACTGAAACACAAGTTTTCCAAGAGTCTCTCAGACCTTGACAACTACAGAGTTGTAACTGAGGAATTCTTAATTAAACCTAAACCAGGATGAAATAGGGGGAAGAAAGAAAGAAAGAAAGAAAAGGAATAATAGAAATTAAAAAAAAAAAAAGACACCTGATTGTTTAATTCACGTGCAGTGATTCTTAATGACATTATTCTGCAACTTCCCTCCCTGTGCGTACCCCTGGATGGAGCACTGGCTATCACAGCAGAGCTTATCACAGTCCTGCCGGATTAGGTACCCACGCGTTTGAAAACCTAAGCAACAGGCTGATAAGCAGAATTTAACTTGTTAAAGGATGTAGAAAACTTGATTTTAAGAAATTGGTGAGCAGAGGAGGTGCTTCCCTTCACATGACCGTAGCCTGAAATTGGGCAGAGGCTGCCAGGTAATGTGAAAAGGCAGAGTGTCTAACGGCACCTGGTGCGAGACACCGGTTCTGAGCGAGAGCCGTGAGACCGCGGTCCTGCAGCGGAGACCTCGAGGGTCTTTCGCCGCTGGTACTTGAAACTGTGAGTAGCAGCCGGACCCCGAGGCGGCTGGAGATCACGGAGTGTTGCTACACCGGCACCAGCCTCAATCCAAAACCCCACCTAACTTTGTTCCTGCGGAGCAAACTGGACACGATTCTTCACCCCAGAAAAAAAAAAAAAAAAAGCCAAGCTGGACGGCACCGCCGGGCGAAAGCAGAGCCCCCTCCGCTGCCGCGCAGCTGTCGGAGCCCGCCCGGCTCCTCATACCCTTCCCCGCGGCCGCGCCCGGGCAGCGGTACCTGCGGGCGGCCCGGCCTCACTGCACCGGGACGGGGCCGGGGCCACCGCCAGAAACTCCGGCGCTGCGGACAAGAAGTAACTCGCAGGCAGAGCCGCCGGCCGGCACCGCGCTCCCCCCCGCGGGGCGCCGGTCCCCTCCAGGGCGCGGACCTGCCGCGCTCCCCGCGCCTCCCGACGAAGCAGCCCCGCGCCAGCATCACGTCCCTGCCGCGCCCTCGCCCCCCAGGCAGGAACGGTCGCCCCCCGCCACAGCATCGTCCCCACCCGCGTGGGAAACGCGGCAGGTTTGTGGCCGGTGCGTGGCTCCACGCAGAAATAGGGAAGCAACTCCCAAAACCTCTCCCCACCCAAAGCCCAAGCGCAGCCCCAGGTTGTGCCTACCTTCGCCTCGGCGTGCGGCAGCCCCTGGGGCTCGGAGCGGGAGCAGCAGGACAGGCGTGGGTAGAGGCCGCGGCACATCGCCTCCCCGCCGCCCGGGGCCTCCGGAGACAGCACCCGCCGGTCCCGCTTCTTCAGCCGCCGCGGCGGGGTCCCGTTGAGGCACCTTCTCCTCCGGGCGCCACTCTCCCCAAACTTGGCATCCCCCTCGAAGAAGCACAGAACCACGGCCACTAGCAGCAGCTTAAACGGCAGCATCTTGAGCATCATGCCTGAGGGAGCGTGTGAATGCACCCAAACCGGGGGTGGGGGATTGGGGGTGGGTGGGGGAGAAGGAAGGAGGGGAATCCCACTGACTTTTCTTTGCACTTCAGATCAGGAAACCACCTCCCTCTCCCAGAAGGGCAAAGTCTGGAGAAGAATAATAACAGTAGCGGTTAAAAAGCCGACGGAGGAACAGCACCTCGGCCACCCCTCGCTTCTTCCAAAAAGGCGGACGCGAAGAGGCAGGAGCGGGGGACTGAGCCCCCCGAGCCCCCGGTGGGAGGATGCTCGAAGCCGGCGAAGTTGTACGAGCGGCACAGGTTTTAGCAGCTGCCGCTGCCGCGCCGAGGCGCCGAGGCTCGGGGCGGGCCGGGCAGCGGGCGGCGGCAGCAGCAGCCCTTCACTTGTCGTCCCATAGGAAGGGTGTCCCCGCGGCGGGACTGCGGCGGCGGCGGCCGGGCCGGGCGATGCCCTCTCCGCTGTTGCTGCTGCTGCTGGCGGCGGCTGCGGCTCGTTCGGACTCTCATGTTTCGCTCCCTCTTTTCTTCTTCTTTTTAAGCGGCGCGCGGGGAGGTGCTGCCACCGCGCGCCCTGCACGTCACCCGGCGGCATCCACCGACCGCGCGTGCCGCCCGCCGGGAAGCGGGAGTGGCGGAGGGGCCGCGCCCGCCGGGAGGGAGCGGCGCGGGGGCGCGGCGGGGGCGCGGGGTAGGCGGCACGCCCAGCTCCGCCGAGATACTCCCCCCCACCCAAAGGGGGGGTCTGGCTGCCCGTTCTTCCCCCGGTGGAACGGGAGCTGGGCCTTCCGGAGGGAGGAGGCGGCGGGCGCCTTTCCGCTGCCCTGTTTCGGCGGGAACTGGTGGAGCCGCGTCGGTGCCCGGTGGAAGGGGAGCGTTTTAGGTGGGTCCTGCGCCCCCGACGGGGGCAGGGTTCCCTCGGCGCTCGGCTCTAGGTCTGCTCCCCTGTGCCCGCCCATTGCTCCTATAGCTCATCCCCGAACGCCAGGGAAGGTTCCAGAGGCATGGGGCCAAGCGCGGGGCGGGCATGGACGGCGGGAGGTGCCCTCAGCTCCCGGTGGCTTTTTCCTGTGGAGCTGCGGAGTCGTTACTGCCACCGGAGTTGCCGTGGGTTCTCAGACCCCTCGGCGTCTGGGAGCGCGATGACCCTCACGGCTTCATTCTGACCGTGATAACCACAGTACAACCTGTTGGTAATGGCGACATCGAGGCCGTTCCTAAAGGTGGGAGGGAGCCAGATGTGGAGGGGTGAGCACCGTCCTGGTGTGCGGAGATCGAGATACCTGAGTATGGGAAGAGTGGGATGAGCCGAGCACTTTGCTTGGTGGCAAGAGAGCACCTGCTTGACCAGAAGCTGACCAGAAGCTAACCAGAAGGGGAAAGGCTAGCCCAATGTGAGCAGGAGTGAAATGGATTTGGGAAGAAAAAAGATGGAAGCCCAGAGAACCCGAGCCCAGGCTCGAGAAGGCTGAGAGGAGGTGCTGCAGAGCCCCACAGGTTGGAAGAGGGAGCTGCAGGAGAGGAAGGAAGGGAGGCCCTCAGAGGCTGCTGAAGTGCAAGTGCAGCTACTGCCACTGACTTGGAGGTAAAGGGCAGCTGGATAAATAGAGGTGTATTTAGATGAAAAATTGGCTTGTACCGAAAGAGCCCCCTTAGGAGGGAGAAAGGGAAAGAAATATTGCATGGAGTTCCTGATGTATACTAGCGTTTCTAAACTAACTAGGCCCCGTTTCTGTTCACCCCCCATTTGTTTTTCACCAAACAAAACAAGTGTCTTCATATTTACATTTGAACTCCTTAACAATCCACACTGAACTAAATAGGAGTTTGGCATAGATAAATGGTACACCAGTTAAATTATTGAATAGACATAAAGATTCTTTCTCCTCAAGTGCATTTTTGAAGGTTAGTGGTTCCTTTAACTCACGACTACCCCTTGTCTTAACTCTTATTTGACTAACAGTGCTCCCAGCCAAGGCCCATCTGCATGAGTGAGGGCGGCCTGTGGTGCAGCTTGGGTCCCAGCCCTCACGTTAATGAGTGAAATAAGAACGTATTCTGGTGATACAGCATCCTTCTTTGTAGTTTTAGAGAAAAGTACTGCCTTGCAATACATGAACTTGTTCCATGAGCAACCTGACGTGGCAGAACTGTAGCAATGTAATTCTGCTACAACAGCTATGCCTTCTTCATTGCTTTGGGTTATTACATAGAATATTTTAAAATATAAAATATAAAATATAAATTTTATTATTTTAAAATATAAAATAAAAGTGATTCTGGTATACATCAGAGTAACTGTATCAGAAAGAAGTCACTTTTATTCCCAAGCAGACTCCTTACGGAGGGTTACTTTGGCAGAACTGTAGTGGCCTGAGGACACAGCTGGAGGTCTGTATGCCTCTTTCCCTGTGTAGGCAGGTGCTCATACTTTTCAAGCAGGTTGCATACTGCATCTCCCTTGCTGGAGCGGGAAACTAGAACTTGATGGAAGGAAGCGAGTGTGGGGCAGATACCCTCTTGAAAAAACAAATGTTCAGGGAAAATGTCTGTTGAGCGGTTGTGGCCTGGTCTTGGCAGTTCCCGTCTCTCTGAAGGAGAGGGGAAGTGAGGAATATAAATCTATATGATCAAAGTAATGCAGCTATTAGTTAATAACTTTTCTTCCTTCTTCTAAGTGCTGCCTGCATAAATATCCGTTTCTATGTATACCTGTGTGAGTTCTCAGAGGAGGTGAGTTTGAGGTGTATTAATTAGACAGAGAATGATTTCCCAAAATAGGGTTTAGATCAAGCTGCCAAACTAAGAAAGAACTGGCAGTTTGTGAGAGTCTGTTTCTACAGACTTTTACATACAGACTTTTACAGAAATTTTACATAGATCTATGATGGAGACATTTCTCAGAAATTCTGTGAAATGTACTGTTGACCTTCTATAATATAAAGTGCTCAAAACTTCGAGCTCTGTAGTGATAGAGTGATGTAAAGATGTATAAGCAAGACTTGAAGAAGGTTGAATGTTTTTTAAAACCCCTGAATAGAAATTGCTCTTTCTTGGGGTTTTGTGCAAGAAGACCTGATTTAATCTCATGTTCCTTTCCACACTTTAAAAGTACATGTTGGCTTCTTTTTTAACAAAGTATTTTTCTCGAGCTGGTTGATACAGGGTTTTATTTATAAACCTTTTTAATAATGAAAAGTTAAGGTCAGTATTAGTTTATGCCAGTTCCGGATGTCAGCTTCAGGTGACTTCCAGCTTCTGATAAGCAGAGATAAGGGAATACTTATGAAGTAAAAACATATACTAGGAAATATGGATAATAAAAATATCAGTTTTTCTAAGGCAAACTGGCTTCTGTCATACAAAACTCATTACTAGAAATGATTAGACATGGTGATGCCGTTAGTGAGCTGAATAAATTCTGTTATTTGTTCAGATGTACGTGAGAATCATTGGGTTACAATGGAATTATATGTGAAAGGGTTAGAAAGTTTTAAAAAAGGAAGCTGTTGCTGACACAGTATTTGAATGTAGCTAGATTTTCTTCTAGTTTTGCCTGGGAGATAAGCAGAGCGTGCTTAGTTATGCCATTGCTTTAATTATCTGTATTACTATCTATATCATGAGTCCCTGTATCGTATGGATTAAATGTGTCAGAATGCCCTTCCAAGAGTGTGAGGATAATTTTGTCATGCACCTGAACTTAGATTATCTCTGAGATTATTTTATGTCATACATATTTTGCAAGGGAATTTAATTGCACCAAGAAATCTACTTTAAGGTTTGAAGACCAGTTTAATATCTTTATCGATGCTCTGGATGAGGGGATCGATGAAGTGCACCCTTAGTAGTGAACAGATGACACCAAGTTGGGTGGGAGTGTTGATCTACTGGAGGGCAGGAGGGCTCTGCAGAGGGATCTGGACAAGCTGGATCAATGGGCTGAGGCCAGTTGTATGAAGTTCAACAAGATCAAGTGCTGGGTCCTGCACTTGGGTCTCAACAGCCCCACACAGCGCTACAGGCTTGGGGAAGAGAGGTTTGAAAAGTGGCCCAACACTGGTTGACAACTGCTGAAAATGAGCCAGTGTGTGTGCCCAGTTGTCCAAGAAGGCCAAATGGCATCCTGGTCTGTATCAGAAAGGGTGTGGCCAGCAGGACCAGGGCAGTGATTGTCCCCCTGTACTTGGCACTGGTGAGGCCACACCTCGAGTGCTGTGTCCAGTTTTGGGCCCCTCACTACAAGAAAGACACTGAGGTGCTGGAGTGAGTCCAGAGAAGGGCAACGGAGCTGGTGAAGAATCTGGGGAGTAAGTTATGTGAGGAGCAGCAGAGGGAGCTGAGGTTGTTTAAGAAAAGGAGGCTCAGGGGTGACCTTATTGCTCTCTACAACTACCTGAAAGGAGGTGCAGCAAGGTGGGGGTTGGTCTCTTTTCCCAGGCAGCTGGTGACAGGACAAGAGGACATAGCCTCAAGCTGTGCCACGGGAGGTTCAGGAAGCCTTTTTTTCACTTTTTTCCCTGGTTAAGCATTGGAATGGACTGCCCAGGGAGGTGGTGGAGTCACCATCTCTGGAGGTGTTCAAGAAATGTCTGGATGTGGCATTTAGTGCTATGGTTTAGTTGGCATGGAGATGTTTGGTCACAGATTGGACTCAGTGATCTTGGAGGTCTTTTCCAACCTTAATGATTCTATGATTATAAATCAGTAATTCCCGGGTAGTTTGAACAGAAGAGGAAATATGGGTAGTTATGTGTAGCAGCTAGCGTCAGTTTTGGGAAATACAGTTATCACAGGAGTTTGCAGATAGGAGCAGAAGCTGAGCAAAGTGATCCCATGACACCAGATTTGATGGAAACAAACAGTAACATCAAATTATTCCTAAAATCCCAACAGATGTTGTCTGATGGCGCAGCTTTACATACTCTTATGTTCACAGCAGAACTTTACATGTGGTCACCTCACTTTCACAGCTAAGCCTGTGTAGTATGCGATATATCTTCTCCACAGTGATATCAGGGCTAAATTCCAACCTTCCACGCTGGTGGCAAATACCTTGCATGCCATGAGGATGAATATTGCAGTGTTGGAACAGGCTAGGAGACAAACCATCACTCACCATGGTCTGCATCTGAGAAATTATGATATTTAAGGTACTAGTAGAGGAACGTCAGCCCTCTGTGTCAAGGACACTCAACTAGATGAAGCAGTTCTTCAGTTCTTGAGAGTGACTCTGCTCTTGTTTTAGCTGGCATTGGAGTTGAATTTCTGAAACACACTTTTCTCTTGCCATTATTTTGTAAAGAGAAAAAGGCTTTTTTCTTTTATTTCAGAACCACTTCCTTGTCAGATGAAATGAGAGTGGAATCTCGCCATATCTTATCACCATTACACTTTTCACTGAGTCTATTATACCTGTTAT